AGCCAGGCTGACAGCACGGGACCAGTCCACTCCGACCCTGTCCAGCGCGCCGACGAGTGCGGTAAAAATATCAGCTGCTGTCGTTGTATCTGTCATCGGCACCAACTCCACGAACTCCTCAGTGACGGTCAATGTGTCATCAACTCCGCGGATGAAAATGGCCAGTTGTGCAACATCTGTAATGTCCGTGCTTTCATCAATTGCAACCGAAAACGCAATAAATGACTTTACTTTTTGCTTCAACTGGCTGTCCAAATCCACTGAAAGATCGGAAATCCTGTCTGCAACTGTGTTTCTTGTCAGGCTGATATTTGCAAAAGCCTGCCGCTTTTCAGGGCACACAATCTCCGCTGCCTTCATCATGCATGTTTTTACAAATTCACCCTCACTAAATGGTTTTGAAGCCACTGCGATTTCATTAGCAATGAGGTAGCTAGCTTTCACTGCAGCGTCACTGATGTCTCGGCTGTGAGTAAACACAGACTGCTGTTTCTTCAGACCCGCCAACAGTTCATTCACCTTCTCTCATCTCCGCTGTCCTTGAAAGTTGTCATATTTGTCGGCATGAAGACTCACATAGTGGCGACGAAGGTTATATTCTTTCAGCACTGCAACATGCTCTGAACACACCAAACATACAGCTTTCCCATTCAATTCCGTGAATAAATAGGATGACCGTTTTTCTTGGAACACTCTGTACTCTGCGTCCACTTTTCTCTTTTTTGACAGAGACATATTGGGGCAATGAGGGTGCCAAAGCACATAATGTTAAAAGTAGAAGCCGTAATAAATATCGCGGGCAAAACAAAGTAGCTCATTGGCTGCACGTGCTTGACCTACTTGCTCTGCCCCGGTATAAACCGTTTGCTTGCTTAACACAATTGCTATTGCGCCATCCAGCGGACGCAATTGGAACAGCAGTTTATTTTATTGAAAAATTGCAGCGCATTTTTATACTTTACAAAAATATATATATATATATATTTTTTTTTTTTTATCATCTCGCGGGCCGGATTAAACCCGTTTGCGGGCCTGATCCGGCCCGCGGGCCGGACGTTTGACACCCCTGCCTTAGGTAGTCTCTTCACAACACACCTAACCCTGGCACTCATTATGAATGTAGGTTGTAGGTGAATAAACATTTCTAACTGCTGATTATCCTAACTCTGGATGGATTCCAATAGGAATTACACGTCACTTTACAAGCCGGCATAATGAGGCTAACAGGTAGGGTTACAAAATTCCTAGTTTTTCCAGAAGTCCTGGTTGGAACTTTCCTGGAAATTGAAAATGCAAAATCACTCAGGATTTTTTGGGAAAGTCACTGGAATCTGATGTGGCCTGAGGTATGAGCTGGGGATCAATTATGCACTTATAACTAAAGGTATGAAGGATGGCCTTATAGGGTACCACTGTAGTGCGGCCCAGCCCCCGAAGTGACTTCTTATCAACTGTATGCAAGGAATCCTTTGTGTTGTCTTAGGAATGAATCATTATCTTAACTTTACAGTAATACAATTGGTCAATAACTCAGATTTTGAATCCTAACAACTCAGATGCTTATAAAAGGTTATTAGATTCATTGTTCTTTCTGTTATGTTGCTGACTTGCAGTGGTGATATACCTACACTCTTTCTTTCCCCCTCCCATAGATTTTTTTATTTAACCAGGTAAGCCAGTTGAGGACAAGTTCTCATTTACAACTGCGACCTGGCCAAGATAAAGCAAAGCAGTGCGATTTAAAAACAACAACAACACAGAGTTACATATGCAATAAACAAAACGTACAGTCAATAACACAATAGAAAATCTATATACAGTGTGTGCAAATGTAGTAAGTTATGGAGGTAAGGCAATAAATAGGCCATAGTGCAAAATAATTACAATTTAGTATTAACACTTGAGTGATAGATGTGCAGAAGATGATGTGCAAATAGAGATACTGGGGTGCAAATGAGCAAAATAAATAACAATGTAAATAACAATATGGGGATGAGGTAGTTGGATGGGCTAATTACAGATGGGCTGTGTACAGGTGCAGTGATCGGTAAGCTGCTCTGACAACTGATGCTTAAAGTTAGTGAGGGAGATAAGTGTCTCCAGCTTCAGAGATTTTTGCAGTTCGTTCCAGTCATTTGCAGCAGAGAACTGGAAGGAATGGCGCCCAAAGGAGGTGTTGGCTTTGGGGATGACCATTGAGATATACCTGCTGGAACGCATACTATGGGTGGGTGTTGCTATGGTGACCAATGATCTAAGATAAGATAAGGTGGGGATTTGCCTAGAAGTGATTTATAGATGACCTGGAGCCAGTGGGTTTGGCAACGAATATGTAGTGAGGGCCAGCCAACGAGAGCGTACAGGTCACAATGGTGGATAGTATATGGGGCTTTGGTGACAAAACGGATGGCACTGTGATAGACTACATCCAATTTGCTGAGTAGAGTGTTGGAGGCTATTTTGTAAATGACATCGCCGAAGTCAAGGATCGGTAGGATAGTCAATTTTACGAGGGCATGTTTGGCAGCATGAGTGAAGGAGGCTTTGTTGCAAAATAGCTAGCCGATTCTAGATTTCACTTTGGATTGGAGATGCTTAATGTGAGTCGAAGGAGAGTTTACGGTATAACCAGACACCTAGGTATTTGTAGTTGTCCACATAATCTAAGTCAGACCCGCCAAGAGTAGTGATTCTAGTCGGGCGGGCGGGTACAAGCAGCGTTCGATTGAAGAGTATGCATTTAGTTTTACTAGCGTTTAAGAGCAGTTGAAGGCCACGGAAGGAGTGTTGTATGGCATTGAAGCTCGTTTGGAGGTTTGTTAACACAGTGTCCAGTGAAGGGCCAGATGTATACATGAGCTATGGGCCTTGGCACAAGCCATGGTTTCTTTGTCTCACTCTCTCTCTGACCATGCTTGGAATAATGCCTTGTGAGTGCTTGTTAATGCTTTGCAACTTAAGCTTTATGCCTTGTGGTCCTCTGTAGCTCAATTGGTAGAGCATGGCGCTTGTAACGCCAAGGTAGTGGGTTCGATCCCTGGGACCACCCGTACGTAAAAATGTATGCACACATGACTGTAAGTTGCTTTGGATAAAAGCGTCTGCTAAATGGCTTATTATTATTATTATTATTATTATTATTATTATTATTATTGTATGTGAATCCATTCATTTTACAAAGTAATTAAATACACTTGTGTTTAGAATTCTATTCTCAGACATTTCTTCATTGCCTATTACTGTAGCTCAACTATAGTGTTCTAGCATATTGCTATTTAGCTTATGGAGTCCAATAATTCATTTAATGGGCTAACCGCTTAGTCTTATTATGAGTCCCATTTGAGGTAAATAAAATATACATATCAAATACTACACCAGTACAGTGACATGTTTGTACCCCTTTACAAACAAATGCAAGCCTTTTTTTCTGAGTGTAATACAACAACATTAAACTCATGGTTTACAGGCCACGTCTGCAAGTCACATTATGTTGGCTTGCAAGGTGATGTGTAATTCCTATTGGAATCCAGCCAGTGTGGGGACATCCAACATTTGGAATTTTTTATATCCTGCAACCTGTATTTAGAATGACTGCCAGGGTTGGAAAGAGTAGGCTGAGACTACCTAAAGCATCTAAACTGGAACAAACATTTCAGTAACAGGTGCAATAAATCCAAGTAACATATTGGATTAGTTTAGAAAATGTTTGTAACTTATATTTAAGTAGCATAAGATTAATTAATCAATCATGCGTAAACATTTAGATAGTGAAACAATTCTAAAAATCGACCTGCAATAGAGCATGCTGGGAAATATGACCATGATGGGCGTAGTTTTTGGTTCAAAGTAATGTGTATCAGTTTCAGGCCCCTGCATTGGGGTAAAACTAGGCCCTCAAAATAAGGCCTTGTGAAATACGTATGATATTGTGTTAAAGAATACATTAAAAAAATATATCATCTTTCTTTGCTTAGGATCTCACTTGGTGAAGTCCATAGGACTGAAACTTGATTAATGCAACAACCAGTCCAACAATGTCTCTGTCACTAACAAATAGGTAATGGGTGGTAACTCTACAATTAACTCGAAAAGCACTCGGAAATATTTGAATAAGGCTTTACACTAAGCAGTGTGTTAATTTAACACTGTTTGTGCGTCTATATAGGTCCACAGACTCAACACTTTTTAAGTGTTGTTTTGAAATTCTGTGTTAATTTTGTACGTTTTTTTTTTACACTGGAGAATTTGCTGTGTAAATATCCAATTTGCAATGTTTGCAATTGGCTTCGAATTACTCTGCAGTATTAATTGCAGCTTTCAACCTTTTCAGTCACATTTTGAAAGACATAACTTATTTATACTTATTTATAAAATATAATTGGTTAAATGTTTTGACTTATGTACTCCTGGGGCAATAGACATATTACAGAATGTTTTAGATATAAATGTATTGTGTAGATCAAATACAGTATGACTGTCAGATTGGAATAGTATAGGAGATTGTGTGTGCTCTATTGATTCTATTTGTATCTTCAACATGCAGTTCCAGATGCAGCCCTGACATTAGATGAAGGCAGCCAATCCAATAGTTTCAGAAAAGTAATCACTTCCTCAGATCTGTATTCAAAAATGTTTTTAAAGTAATTGCTTTCTCAGATCTGTATTCAAATTGTTTTAAGTAGTTACTTTCTGAGATCTGTATTCAAATAGTTTAAAAAAGTAATCATTTTTTGGGATCTTCATTCAAATAGTTGTAGTCACCTCCAAAGTAACTATTTGTGCCCCAGGAAAAACAGTTATTTTACACAAAGCATGGTTATCTATAGTTATCTCAGGCTGCAGTCATCGTGTGATTGGTAGTTGGTAGCACTTCATTGAATGTAAATGGATATAATATCCTTAGATTTGGCACTAACAGAGTAATTACAGACAGGGCGTCTTTATACCGTACTGGATCTATTTTCATTATAGTAATACAAATCCTGAAATTGCAACTTACATTGTTTGTACACAGGAAAAATGATTCCCCCGACGCAAATCAGCATCAATAGTGTGATGCCTACAATAACACCGATAGAAAGGCCTTCCTGCACCTTACCTGTGGGGAAAAGACAAGACCAGTTTAATTACATTTTTAGTTAATAAAGATTAGGCAATGAGAGGTGGATGTAACACACTGTATCATGTCCCTGCAGGGTCTATGTGAATGCTCTTACTGGTGCATATGATGGTTGTGTTGCTCACAGTCTCTCTCAGAATGGGGTTGAACACCTGGCAAGTCACAGACTGATTCTCTGTGAAATTCACTTGGCTCCAGACAGTGTACAGTCCACTTTCAGGATCAAGTGTAATGTTGGTCTGTACTTCCCTGGGGTCCAGAGTGCAGTTCTGAGGCTGTGAGAGATCCTGAATGGTCCATGTGACCTTTGGTTCAGGATATCCTCCCTGGGTCAAACACATTGCGTTCATCTCTTTGTAGTTCACAGTCAATTTGGGTGTCAGGAACCGTGCTGAAAGTGTACAAGGCAAAGACAAGAATTGAGAGAAAGGTGCCATGTATAAATGCTTTAATAATGTCCTTTATGATTTCCCACAAGGGCTATAAATAACTCTGCCATACCTGCCACAAGCAGGGTAGTCTGACACTCTTTGGTGACATGGATATTTTGATCATTACTGTCGAACAGCGAAGCAAAGGCCCAGTAGGTGTTCTTGTTGTCTTGAGGTGTTACTTGGCTGAGTTTGATAGAGATATTCCCAGAACTCATCTCAACCTGAAAGGCATTAGTCCTGTTTGTGTAAAGTTTGTTCTGATATTCTTGCTCAACTCCTTTGTTGAACGAGTACAACACGACGTCTGAATGATCTTGCCAATGGAACCGGAGTCTTGCTGGGTTGATGGATAAATTCAGGTCACAGGGCAAGAGAATAGATGCTCCTATAATGCCAGTGACTAGATGTTCAGATGCAACTGGTGCTGAAAATGTCAAGATTCAACACACATAAATGTCGACCACTGTATTAGTGCATGATTGTGTTTGAATATGGGAGAATCTATGCATGTCTCAATTGGCTTGAGGTGTGAAACGGTGAAGAATTGTCACTTTGCCTTCATGTCATCAATGGTTCTCAAGCACAGGCTCATATGACGCCTGAGTTTCCTGCCCCTCCATGCCCACATCCTGACTGTAAGAGCTTATGCTAAATCTGACACAGTCCTTCAAACCAGGACTGAGGGGCCCAAAAACTAAGTCACATTGCTATTGTGACAGCAGGCTTCACTGGAGGAATGGCATGATGTGCTCATGTACTCACTCAAAGGAAAGTACATACAGTGAGGGAAAAAAGTAGTTGATCCCCTGCTGATTTTGTACGTTTGCCCACTGACAAAGACATGATCAGTCTATAATTTTAATGGTAGGTTTATTTGAACAGTGAGAGACAGAATAACAACAAAAAAATCCAGAAAAACGCATGTCAAAAATGTTATAAATTGATTTGCAAAACATGACCTTAGTACTTGGTGGCAAAACCCTTGTTGGCAATCACAGAGGTCAGACGTTTCTTGTAGTTGGCCACCAGGTTTGCACACATCTCAGGAGGGATTTTGTTCCACTCCTCTTTGCAGATCTTCTCAAAGTCATTAAGGTTTCGAGGCTGACGTTTGGCAACTCGAACCTTCAGCTCCCTCCACAGATTTTCCATGGGATTAAGGTCTGTAGACTGGCTAGGCCACTCCAGGACCTTAATGTGCTTCTTCTTGAGCCACTCCTTTGTTGCCTTGGCCGTGTGTTTTGGGTCATTGTCATGCTGGAATACCCATCCACGACCCATTTTCAATGCCCTGGCTGAGTGAAGGAGGTTCTCACCCAAGATGTGACGGTACATGGCCCCGTCCATCGTCCCTTTGATGCGGTGAAGTTGTCCTGTCCCCTTTGCAGAAAAACACCACCAAAGCATAATGTTTCCACCTCCATGTTTGATGGTGGGGATGGTGTTCAAGGGGTCATAGGCAGCATTCCTCCTCCTCCAAACACGGCGAGTTGAGTTGATGCCAAAGAGCTCGATTTTGGTCTCATCTGAACACAACACTTTCACCCAGTTCTCTGAATCATTCAGATGTTCATTGGAAAACTTCAGATGGGCCTGTATATGTGCTTTCTTGAGCAGGGGGACCTTTCGGGCGCTGCAGGATTTCAGTCCTTCACAGCGTAGTGTGTTACCAATAGTTTTCTTGGTGACTATGGTCCCAGCTGCCTTGAGATCATTGATAAGATCCTCCCGTGTAGTTCTGGGCTGATTCCTCACCATTCTCATGATCATTGCAACTCCACGAGGTGAGATCTTGCATGGAGCCCCAGGCCGAAGGAGATTGACAGTCTTTTGTGTTTTTTCCATTTGCGAATAATCGCACCAATCATTGTCACCTTCTCACCAAGCTGCTTAGCGATGGTCTTGTAGCCCATTCCTGCCTTGTGTAGGTCTACAATCTGACATCCTTGGAGAGCTCTTTGGTCTTGGCCATGGTGGAGAGTTTGGAATCTGATTGATTGCTTCTGTGGACAGGTGTCTTTTATACAGGTAACAAACTGAGATTAGGAGCACTCCCTTTAAGAGTGTGCTCCTAATCTCAGCTCGTTACCTGTATAAAAGACACCTGGGAGCCAGAAGTCTTTCTGATTGAGAGGGGGTCAAATACTTATTTCCCTCATTTAAAATGCAAATCAATTTATAACATTTTTGACATGTGTTTTTCTGGATTTTTTTGTTGTTATTCTGTCTCGCACTGTTCAAATAAACCTACTATTAAAATTAGACTGATTATTTCTTTGTCAGTGGGCAAACGTACAAAATCAGCAGGGGATCAAATACTTTTTTCCCTCACTGTACAGTAGTTAAAAGGAAGTGGTAGAAAGATCTTAACACATGCAGAGATAAAAGTCCCCTAAACAAACATGTTCCTGGAAAATTAAGAAACCTTTTCTCTTCCAAAAGCCATAAAATAACATTTGAAACTGGGTTGTTCATTTATCTGTCTACTTTTGTAGTGAATTCCAGCACTTACTTACGAATATGATGGGAAGGTGTATGACATCACCCGTTTCCTGACTACTCTGATGACAAATTTGGTTGAGTAATTTAGCTCTGTCATAAACCTTAGCTCTGTAACATTTGTCACCATGTGCTTTACAGTAACCAGACCTAGATCCCCAAAAGAGAATGAAGAACCATTTCCATGTGGAAGATGTGTAGACAAGCCAAAACCCTTTCTTTCTGTAAAGCAATTCATTAAATAGAAGTATTGAGCATTGAGATAAAGACTTACCAAACAGCAAATATATGAATATCAGAGTAGATATTCCATGCTGCAAGAGAATCATTAGAGAAGAAATGAATAACCTCAAGCTTGAGTATTGCCCCATCATTATGTGCACGCAAGCTAAAAATAAATATGAGAAACAAGACAGACGGGAGTGTGTAGAGTGTTTCTAAGTTAATTCGAGCTTCTGAGGTGAAGTAAAACATTGTTATCCCATATGAAAAAACATTAAAAAATATATTTGTATATAAAATGTTTAGGATACATGTGAAATATTGAAAATTGGCCAAATAATGTATTGTAAAAAAATATCCACAGGTCCACAAACAGTCATTCTGATTCCCATGTAAATAGCCTTTTGAGTGACTAAGATATCACCCATAATATTTTTGGGGAATCAAAATTTGAGAAAAAGTAAATGTTCTCTCATGGCTAATTACCAGGGCCAGTTTCCACAAAGCATCTCAGAAAAAGGTCTTAGGAATCGTGTTAAAAAAATAAACTCCCAGCTCAGAGTAGGTTTTAGGATGATGTTAGGACACTGCCCAGACAAACTCTGAGCCAGCAGTAAAATCAACTCATAGCAGTTTATCAGCTGGTAATCACAGTTTGAGGTACCGCAAAGGAAAGATTGTGATGACGCTCATTGACATTGTTGCAAATGATGGGGAATAACCAATTGCTATGAGGCATCGCCAGCTGTGAACTCTATAGCACGCTTCAGACAACCACAGTGAATGTGATTGTAAATCAAATGTTGCACATTTAATATAATTTTCGCCTGACATGATCACTTTGCATGCTCTTAATTATTGCCTAATATGTAGCCTTTTTTTAAAAACAAATTCTGATGGTTGTTAAAAGCGGAATTTTGACAATTACCATTATATCAACACACTCATCACTCCCGTTTAACAACTCTAAATCGCTTTGGCACAGTAGGCATCAAGTCACTTGCCAATAATGTTTTAACCCACAAGGTCCCATAGTTTCTTGATATGTGTATAGGCTGTGGGCTCCGCCCTGGTCACTCCCTAGACACACCCATTGTCACTTCCTGATTTAAGGTGATATAGAAAGTGGGTGTGTCAGGATATGGGGGGCCATTTTGACTGCATGTTGGTGGGAGAAAATGTTTGGGTACTAGGAAACTTTTGTTAGTTTTGAACATCTAGTTTCTCTCATGTTATACAAGTGAGACATGTCTCACAGTATTGTATTTGAGCGTTTAGAATTTTCCTTTCGGTGGATTATCCGACACCGTCTAAAGGACTATGTTTTGGAAGGATATTTCTAAGGTCTACTTTACCTTTTGGGGTTTTTGCTTTGTGGATTTCCTTTGGACTAATTGTACTGAACTGTGAAACTTGAACTGTTAAGATCAATGTTTATTTTAATTTCTTCCCTTCTGGATTTATTGGAGTTTTTCTTGTTTTTGGGGATATCTTTCCTGGACTTGAAACTGAACTGTATTGACTTTCATTCTTATTTGTGTTTCAGAGACTGAGCCATACATTTGAGTTGATTTGGCGGGGGGGGGTTTATTTCGGAAATACACATCTCCCTTTCATGACATACACTGAGTATACAAAACATTAAGGACACCTGCTCTTTCCATGACATAGACTGACCAGGTGAATCCAGGTGAACGCTATGTTCCCTTATTGATGTCACTTGTTCAATCCACTTCAATCAGTGTAGAGGAGACAAGTTAAAGAAGGATTTTCAAGATAATTGAGACATGGATTGTTTGTGTGCCATTCAGAGGGTGAATGGGCAAGAAAAAATATTTAAGTGCCTTTTGAACAAGGTATGGTAGTAGGTGCCAGGCGCACAGGTTTGTGTCAAGAACTGAAATGCTGCTGGGTTTTTCAAGCTCAACAGTTTCCTGTGTGTATCAAGAATGGTCCACCACCCAAAGGACATCCAGTCAACTTGACACAACTGTGGGAAGCATTGGAGTCAACATGGGCCAGCATCCCTGTGGAACGTTTTTGACACCTTTTAGTGTCCAGGCCCTGACAAATTGAGTCTGTTCCGAGGGCAAAAGGGCAGGGTGCAACTCTATATTAGGAAGGTGTTCCTAATATTTGGTATACTCAGTGTACGTGCCCTCCCTTATTCTTCTGTTAGCGGCGTTGGGTTTAGTGCTTACCGACATTATGTTGCGTACAACGTTTGAAAGGTCTATCATTTTTATCGAACACAAAGTTAGCATTATCCCTAGTTGCCTTCAATAGCCTTATAGGTTATTGTTATTGCTTGGATAACTTTATTATCATGTTAATATTATTTCATTATTGGTATGCCATGCGCAGTAAACTGGAGGAGTCAGTGTGTCAATTGATCCCTGTAAGGGATGAGTCGCCCACTGGTGAATGACATGAAAATAAAGTATTCAATCATTCATATAGGCAAGCCCAATTAAGACTTATTATAACAATGTGATGTTGCACTCCAAATGGATAACTTGAAATAACATGACGTAGGTAATTAGATAATCAAAAGAAAAATGTGTTTATTTATTAGTGGTTATACGTATTTAGGCATATCATGTGAAATAGACCTCGTGAAATCATTGTCAAAAGCACAAGAGATACTGTTGCATGTAGGTCTAGATTATTTATGGAGTAAATATATAGAAATATCAAAACA